AACGTTCGGGAAGACATCCAAACTGGTTTGGGTCAATCATGGGTTTGATGTCGGTATATAGTTGTGATGAAATGAAGGTTTCAGCAACCTTGGCTAGAGTAGGTGTCAGGGATGTTGGCCTTAGGTCATTGATGGACGGCGGGCGCGTTATGGGTAAAGGTACAATGTTTGCCTGCTTCCACTATTCGGGGACAACCCCCTCAGATAGTGTGGCGTTCAGAATGGATGTTAATGGGGTTGAGATTTCGTAGGCAAAGCACTTGATGATCCTATTGGGGAGTCCATCTGGTCCCACAGCCTTTCTTACTTTAATGTGTTGTAGCCTATCGTACACTTGCCATGGTTGTATCTCGTCTACAGGTCTTGACGGGAGATATGAAGGCAGACTGGTTGTGTCCAGAGGGTCCAGTGAGCACGTGATAGTGCACAGGGCATCGTTTACTGCATCGGCATGGTCATTAATTATGTTCTGCTTTTTAAATAATACAGTGAACAGTGGTGCCGCACCTAAGCAAAATGGCAAATGAAACAGATATCTAACAGACCTGTAACAGGAAATGTACTGTAATGTCCAACACAGATTCAGAGGTGGAAAAGGACACGACAGTAACAAGGTGGGACTACAAGTACTAAGCCTTGCATGAACTAACAGTTTGCTTACCCATGCTCCCCAGTCTCTCTTGACCCTGACGTCCACCCCAGCGTCCAGCCCCCTCCTCACAGTCTGCACGTCACCTTTCCGCACAGCCCTGTAGAACGTGTCCAGGTCCATCTCCTCACTACCTGCTGGGGGCGACATGGCTGTTCAGCAAGCTTACAGTGGATAGCGTACCTGGTCTATGCACATAGCTAACGTTTGCAATTATAGTGTTTGTATGTCTTTGTATCATAATGTGGGATTTAACTGACGTTAAGCTAGAATTTCTTATATCATTTAAAGCATTTATTAACTACTAAATATAGCTTCGTAAAATAGTGCCGTCACCACGTCTGGTGATTACATGTTGGGATAAAAAAATAGCTTCACGTAATGATTACCAAATCCCAAAATATAAATGAATTTGCTTATATGAGCAAATTGAAAAAAAATTCTCCGGAGCAAGCGAATGGAAATAAAGCTCCAACAGCATCTGGCATATCACCATATCTAACAGTTCCGGTACTAGTTCATGACGGCGGTAGCCTTGCGCAGACATGGCAGCATGGCAAGATAGGTAAGTCCAAAAGGTTGTCTTTTCAACAGCGCCCTTTGCGGCGGGTTTGTGAATTGCACTAGCTAACAGCGCCCTTTGCGGTTGGTTTGTGAATTGCACTAGCTAACAGCGCCCTTCGCGGCGGGTTTGTGAATTGCACTAGCTAACAGCGCCCTTCGCGGTGGGTTTGTGAATTGCACTAGCTAAAGTAGCCTCCATACAAGCTCAACTGCGACCTGCGTTTTTATTTTATGTACTTTCTGACATGCAATGTTTTCGGATGCCACAGTATGGGTCTTTATTTCAAGAACTGCGGTCTCTATAGTACCAAAAATAAAGCCTACTACTATGGAGCGAGGCTAAGGCTTGAATATATAAACGTAGTCCGGATGAATTTCGCTACACTCCCTGCACTCTTAGTGTGTCCAAAACACCGGCAGCAACACAGTCTAACCTTGCTAAGCACCATTGTACCGGGGAGGCAGAAAAGGCAATGGTACATCTCGCAAAAGTGACGGCAAACTGTATACCTCATTCTTTTAGAACCGTTACAAAGTGGCATATTCATAGTTTTGTTACTTAAGCAGGTGTATCAGACGTCACATGTCAAACCTCTACTCTTGAGAGAGAGAACTGAGTTGATCTAGTTTATTTGATCACACTCATAAAATAAACTATCGCGAAAATAAACCAAGAGCTGAATTGGCCCGGTGTACTCTACAAGTAAAAATGATGAAAAACGCACCGTAATATAACGCAATACATTCAAAAGAAAGTCCTACGCTGGGTTCCATGTTCACAATGCGTCCCGGGGCTGTACTTAAGTTATTTATGCTCATGAGTTGTTCATAAAGCGGGAAGTTCAACATTTAAACTGACTGAGGTGCGAGATTTTACGCCTCCTGGCTTCAAAATTGGACGCAGTCAATTGACGTCGTAGACTCTGCTACTACCCTGGGGTTTGACAAACGGAAGTGGCACGTCGACATACATACATACGGGGATGGAGGGGAGGGTCAGGAAGACAGAACTGTAATACTCTGACGTTTTACACCCTACCTTCAGCCATAGTGGATCAGGCAGCTGTTCCTGGGATCCCTGGTGTTAGTGAAACCGCTAACTTGGACTAGAAGGGTCAAAATCCCAACATAGACTACAGTTTAGCAGTGGTCTAACGTCTTGCACACAGGGTGGTGAAACCACAAGTCAGGAGGGCAGAACTGTATGCTCAAGGACGTTGAACGTCCTTGGTATACTCTAATAACATGTTGCACTCTACCTTCAGCCATAGTGGATCAGGCAGCTGTTCCTGGGGTCCCTCAGCTGTTGGTGAATCCACTAACTTGGACCAGAAAACAGAGCAAGCGAAGAGCCCAACATGGCGGACAGCCTCCCACCTTGGGAGTAACACAAACATTGACGTCTTTTGTACCGGCGACAAAACAGGTGTAAACAGGTGTAACTGAAAACCGTGACCTCAGGTGACCTGCTCCATGTTTGTCGTCCATCGAACCGTAAACTCAGGTGTGTTGGTTGCGCGTTGTTAACAACTCCAGCCATGAATGGCGGATCAGTTACCTGTGCAATTGGTCTCCTTCGTGGTGTTGTTTATCCACTGAGTTAGCGGAGACCGGGGAATTGACGAAAAGCTAAACTTCGAATATGGCGCGGTGGGCTGAGTCTTCACTTTGTAACAGCGAGTCATATAGGCGTCACTAACCACCCACCCAATGGATCATGGATCTTTTGGCAAAATGTTGTTGTTGTTGTCCTTGTTTAACGTCTATTATAATCGCTAGACGTGGTCTCTAGGTGCTCAGTTTTTCGCTTGGTTCAGTTCAGAGTCAGTATGTCTCTCTAGGTGTTAACACTTGGTGACTCGTGCTTGTGTGATGCTGAAGTGTCTCTAGGAGAGCACGTCGAATCGGCGCGTACTCTCGATGTACCGGGAGAGGGCAAAATGGTTTGTGCGCTGGTTGTGAGCGGGCGGCGCGGGTTCGATTCCGGCGGGGGTCAGAGTCAACCTTCGAGTTACTCCTTTCTCTGTGTTATAACTTTATCGGTATTTGTCGTCCCGTTCCGAGCTTTCAAAATCACTATTTGTCCTGAAACGCAGGAAAAAGTCAAACAGCGGAACACAGAAAACCGCGAGAGACAAAGACCAAAGTTGTGCATTTTAGTTTGGCTCGTTCAGGTTTGTTACCGCCTGCTAAATGTCTGGGAACTCCCCCCCCCCCAACAAACTAGACCTTCCGGTACGTAACACGTGTCCGTTAGCGGTTGTTTTCTACCATAAGTTACCGACATGCATTTTGTAGATCCCCTAATTAACATGAAAACACAGCAGAAGGAAAGTTGCCCGACACGGTTTTAGATTGCTTAAGTCTTTTATATACTTTAATTCTTGTTGCTAAAATTCAACATTGTGCGTTTAATGATTTCAATCTCTGCATGGGTACTCTATTTTCTCAAATCTCGCCATTGATGCATGGGAGGGGATGAGATGCCGTATTTCTGTGTGAAAATAACCAGACCAGAGCAACCTACTAGTATATCAACATCCCGACGTTAGCAAAAACACACCATGGAGAACAATAGCGGCTCAGTACATGCGGCAAATATCATGCGCCGACCAGGCTGACGATACTAATGGTAATGTTGGTGACAGTGATGATGATGTTGATATGATGATGATGACGTGTATGATGATGATGATGAGGATGGTGATGATGTGAATGATGAGGGTGATGATGTGGATGATGATGAAGATGGTGATGATGGTGATGTGGATGATGTGGATGGTGATGATGTGGATGATGATGTTGATAATGGTGATGGTGGTGATTAACTGATGATGGTGATGATGAAACATACACAATAGTTTTCCCTTAGTTTCCCCCTAAACCATGAGCCAACCGTGCAAAGACAGTAATGACAATGTTGATGATGTTAATGTTGATGATGTTAATGTTGATGATGTTAATGTTGATGATGGCAGTGATGATGATTATGATGAAGATGAAATATACAATTTCCCCAAACCAAATGATGCGCCAACCATACGCATGCTAACGACAGTAATTAAAATGTTGATGATGCTAATGGTGATGTTAATGATGTTGATATGGATGAAATGTACACAAACTATGTACTAGTTTTCCCAAACCAGTATTGCCCCTGAGAAGTTCTATCGGTCACCTGTGAGTTTAAAAGGATTCTCACGTGACCTGGGACCTCTGATCTTTATATCTACAGAACTTAGAACTTATATGATAATCATCACCTGAATTGTTAGATGCAGCTTCATTGTCAAAATGTGACTGTGCAGATCACTGCAGCAACATTTTCACATCACAAACCCCTGATTTCTAACATACATTTGCTGAGTTGATAAACCCTTGTCCTGCAGAGCTCGACAATTGTTGTTTTGTACATACAGTACCATCTATATAGCACCCTGTATAGGTACGATTTCTCGTGCAACGCATTACACCGCAGCGAAACGCAACGAATGCGTAACTATGCCACCGCAGGGCCAAAAAGTCGGGGGTCTATGACCTAGTTAAGACATGAAATTATTGAGAAATATTGTGTAAAAAATACCATCAGGACAAGGGTTAAAGTCGAAGGAACTTATTAGTAGATTGCACATAAAGGTGACAACGTCTGATTGTCATCTTGAACTAGAATGTGAGTTCCAGCACCCAGTGCCTTATGCTTACATTTCAAGCCTATCAGATTGTAATGTGCATATTACTAAGAACTGTTACAGTAATACATGATTGTAGCTTGCACATAAAGGTTTCTAGTTTCACATCAAATCCCTGATTTCTAACATACATGTACATTTGTTGTGTTTAACTTGAAGGAACTTATTAGTAGATTGCACATAAAAGTATGATATCAGCAACATCTGATTGTCAACTTGAACTTGAAAGAAGCTCCAGTACCCAGTGCCTTATGCTTACATTTCAAGGCTATCAGATTGTAATGTGCGTAAGAGTTGTATTTGCAGTAGATTGCACATAAAGGTAAAATCTTGTCATTTGACCCTGAATATGGAGTCTGATTTGCTAGTTTGGGCCATGATTTGGTAACCAGAGCCTTTGCTGCAGTTCCTGAGAATGTCTGTAGGAGCTGCAGTTCCTGAGAGTGTCGGTAGGTGTGCTTCAGCTGACGGCTGTGTTGAAGGTGAGGCAGACCGGGATGTGATCCGTCAGTCTGGCCAGCTGCGTCACCAGGGTGTACCTCTCCACACACTGCATGCAACAAACAAACAAACAAACAAACAAAGGTGGTCAACAACATGTGAAGCCACTCTAATCGGTAGTTCAGGCCAGGAATAAAATTTATGACTTGTATTTGTACCAACATATCAAATTTTTTAATGGGGCCTGCAGCATATGTAATTTGCCGTTTTAATTCGCCATACCCCGGTAATTTGGAAATGGACCACACTCATAAATGGCTAGTCACCATGGCTGTCTGGTCGCTTTTCCCACCTGTTACAGCTCGTTTCAAAGCCAGACTTTGCATGTGAGTCCCTCACTCACCACATCTCCTAGCCACCTGTCAGGCTGGTACATTACTCAGAACCATTCAGGCATACAGAACTATAGATAGGCACGGTTCTGGATACAATAGAGACTATCCAGAACAGTGCCTGATCCTAACCCTAACCCATCCAGGCATAGAGAACTGGATAAAACAGTCCCTCACTCACCAGGTCTCCCCACCCCCCATCAGACCATTCAGAACCGTGCCCAATCCTAACCCTAACCCATTCAGGCACACAGAACTAGATAGGCACTGTTCTGGCTATGATCCTTCACTCACCAGGTCTCCCCGCCCCCCATCAGGCCGGTACATGACGTAGTCTATCCGGCGCCGCCCCGCGATGTCCGGAACGTCCGCCTCCTCCGCCGGCGCCTCCGGTACGGTCCACACCATGTCCATGTTCGCGTCGGTCACGTCTCCGTCCAGCAGGTACCGCGCCTGCAGCCTCCTGCTCCGCAGCGTCGCACGCAGCTTCTCCGGAGTGGAGATCGACGTCTCCCAGAACGTGCACTGCCGCAGCTCTGTACCTGGGAAATACAGGGGAACTTAAACCTAACCCTAACCTTAACTCTAACCTTAACCCTAACCTTATTACTCTGGAGTGAAGATGGAGGTCTCCCAGAACGTGCACTGCCGCAGCTCCGTACCTGGGAAACACAAGGGAACCTTATTCCCGACATGGCAGGGTATGCAGGTAAACCCTAACCGTATTCCTGACCCTAACCTTCGGAGTGGAGATGGACATCACCCAGAACGTGCACTGCCACAGCTCAGTACCTGGGAAATACAGATGAACTAAAACACAGGTTTATTCCTGACCCTGACCCTAACCTTAAGCCTAACAGTAACCTTAACTCTCTGGTTCAGTTCAGTTCAGTTCATCCTCTGGAGTGGGTATGAAAGTCTCCCAGAACGTGCACTGCCGCAGCTCCGTATCTGTAACATGACAGGGAAAGGAGCACAGGTAAACCTTAACCTGGACGCTAACCTTAACCCTGACCCTAACCTTAACCCTGACCTTAACTTGAACCCTTACCTTAAACCTGAACCCTGCCCCTAACTGTAACCATGACCCTAACCTTAACCCTGACCCTAACCTTAATCCTGACCCTTACCCTAACCTCAACTCTCCAGAGTAGAGATATAGAAGACTCCCAAAACGTGCACTGTCGAAGCTCTGCATCTGGAAACATGGCAGGGAACGGAAATTAACCTTACTTAACCTTGACCCACGATTCATATCAACACTCTCCCTGATGACCGAACCATAACCAGTTCTTATGTCCTGTCTTATAACATATCTTTTTCACACATACACACACTCATGCACACACACACACACACACACACACACACACACACACACACACAGTCATACACACACACACTCACACACACACACACACACTCACACACACACACAAAAGAATAGTTCTGGTGAACCCCTCTTCAGTGTGTGTAAATGTTTGTACCTATTGTCCACGGCTTGTCCCTGCCCGGCCCGGCCCTACACACGTCCACATACTTCTCCATCAGGGGATGTTCCCTTGCAGTCTTCTCACCTGGAGAAACAAACATTTGTTGGGAAATTTGGAACAGTACAACTGTTAGCCTGATTAGCTCAGCAATCTCAATAGAAAATATATAAGATAAGGAATTGCCAACTGAATCTTTCCTACTAGATTGTCATGATCTTACAAAGTTTTGGGCAACTTTTACCCACTACTATACTGGGGTCACGGATACAGAAAGCATTTCCTCCCCAGTACCTGGCCACAAGTTACTCTAAACACAGACTAACCCCCCTCCCATCCCTTGTCTCGGGTACATTGGAAACCCCCAAGTATTGTCATAGTCATGTTTTTGGCAGGATCTATCTGGCTTGACATCAGTACCTGGTGACATGTTATCGAAGTTGAAGTCCCCGCACAGGATGTCGAAGACCTGGATGTCGTCGCTGCCGAGCGTCCGGCGCCGGAAATCCTCCGTCCACGTCAACAGCTCGTCCAGCTGCCGCGGGAGGATCTCAAACGGACCTGAAGTGAAGAGGTGGGCAGGGAACGGGTCAGAGGTGGGAACCGGCAGTAAAGTAAAGATATGCAGGATACAGAGTACCATGATACATGTGCTGGTAGTACATGTAGTGACTTACCAAATACAAAATATTTTGTAAAAGATTATAATGAAAACTGTTTTTAAAATGTACAATATATTGCGTATTTTAGCATCATGATCTTAAAATGTAGTAAGTGGTAATTTCAATTTAAGGTATTTCTGAATGTAATAATATATTAGTAAGCGTAACATGCTCGCAACCTTTGTACAAACCTCACAATTCAGCCCTGAGGCTGTGATGGGTTTTGGTTTTCAATACAATAAACAAATAAACAAAAATGGCACTGAGTGAACAGGTCAGAGTTGGGTACTACCACCAAAGTACAGACGTGCAGAATCCGGAGTACCACACTACTGGTAGCATTGATTGCCAATACAAAGGGTCAGCGTAAGTCAGTGATTACGCCTGCTAGAGCTAAGTAGAGTTTATCAGTTTTTAGTCCATCCGCTGCTCTGAGGTAAATAACTTGATGTGGATAATTAATGACAGGATGGAGGAGACTACAAGACCATGTTACAGAGAGTATATTATGTGATTTGGGGCAAAATTTGGAAGATGTGAAAGATTCCAGAATTGATATAGAATTGTTGTAGACCGGAGCCACACCTTGGTAGGACTGCATGTGTGTGGTGGTGATGTAACCTACAGCCTCCTGCCCATCCTGGGTCTTCCCGAGGAACACCTGTAGAGACAATGAGAGACAATGTTGTCTTTCATTGCACCACTGATGGGGGTTCTGAAACTAGGAACCCATTTATAACTGGACTACCCCATTGTATAATACACACAAGTTAACAGGTCACCAGTCTTTGCAAGCGTAACTTTAACAACACCAGAATGTGCCTTGGCTATGAGGGTACACAAATAAGATGACACCTAGGCTAGATCCAACCGGGCCCATTTTGTTGCGGCAATGAATTGTCGTGTAAACGACAAAACATTTGAATTGGTGATGGTGTTGTCCGACAGATCTGTAAAATTGAAGGTGTGTCCTAGGAGCCTGGAGTGTAACACAATGGGCATGATACACAGGGCAGTAGAGTAAGTAGTGTGACAAGGTGGTCTTTGCAAGTGGAACTCCGTGCCTTGACCATGAGCGCGCCCTTGGCTGCCTTTGCAGGCATAACTATAACAACATCAGAATTACGGAATAACCTAGAAGCACAGTTCCGACTGTACCTTGACCATGAGCGCGCCCTTGGCGGCCCACCTGTCCTGTTTGCGGGCTGCAGAGAAGGGCCGGAACTCGGCAGCGAGGACCGGATAGCGGCTGGCGAACAGCAGTCCGCTGTGAAACGCCCAAATGTTCGTGCTCCAACTCCACCGGCCTGTGGGGAGAAATGGCGGAAAAAAATGGTCGGTTATGGTGTCTGTGGGTGGAAACGGTCTGTAATGGTGTCTGTGGCGGGAAAAATGGACAGTTGTGATGGGAAACAGGGTCTGTCATCAGTCAAACAACTTTATAAGGAGGTTATGTTTTCAGTTAAGCATTTGTTTGTCTGTGAATAGCATAACTCAAGAAGCTATGGATGGATTGCCATTAAACTTGGTAGGTGGGTAGATCTTGATGAAACCTAGAAATGACTAGATTTTGGGCTCCCTGCCTGGGAAGAAATGGTGGGAAAATGGTCTGTCATGTCGTCTGTTGGGGGAAACAGGGTCAGTCATCAGTCAATCGTTTTTTTCTATTTTTTGCAATATTAAAAGATATCAGTGAGACTGTTTTACCTGGATCATAGATGATGTGACTGAAATGCTGACATAGGTCGGCATGCAACCAGCCTCTGCATGGCGTCTATGGTGGGTTTTGCTGAGTTTGCCAGTAGATCAAAGGACTTTGGGCATTTTAATCAAGTTTCTTTGTCTTTGTGCTGATGACAGGAAGTAAGATACACATGAGTCTTACCTGGCTCGTAGATGATGTGACCGAAATGCTGACGTAGGCCGACGACCAGCCTCTGCGTGGCATCTGTGGTGGGTTTTGCTGAGTTTGCCAGTTGATCAAAAGGCTTTGAACCCATTTTATTGTCTTTGTTCTGACAACACGACAGGAAGTAAGATACGCACGACTCTTACCTGGCTCGTAGATGACGTGGCCGAAATGCCGCTGTAGCCCGGCGACCAGCCTCCTCGTGGCTTCCTGGTCGAACACCTCCTGGCAGCAGAGGAAGTCCAGCGCCGGGAACTGCGACTCCACCGCGTGCGAGAACTCATCCTCTCCAACGGGATCGGACCGCGGTAAGGTGTTCTGAGGTGGAACGGTTGGTGGGATGGCGTTCTGGGGTGCGGGTCGGCCGCCCTTCCGGGACCGGAGGTTGTAGGGAGTCTCCCCGTGCAGGGGCCCGTTTGGCTGGCCGTTCTGGGCGGGGGGAGGGACAATGTTGCCCTGCCCCTTGGAGGGGATGTGGCCGGGGGGAGATGCAAGGTTTCCCCCCCGCTGCTGGGATGAGACGATTCGGGAGGCGATCTCCCCCGCTCGCCAGTAGCCGTCGCTAAGGTTGTTGAACCTGCAGGGGTGGCAGACAGCTCGCTCTTAGTCTTTTCAGGCCGATCTCTACAATTTATTCAGCCTACAAAAGAGTCTGTGTGAACTAAGTTCACTGAGTAACAGGAGTATCGATCGTATCCAGAACCGTGCCTGGCTATAGTTCTATGCCTGAATGTGTTTGGGTTAGGATCAGCCACGGTTCTGGATAGTTTCTATCATATCCAGAAATGTGCCTATCCAGTTCTATGCTGAATGGGTTAGGATTAGGATCAGGCACGGTTCTGGATAGTCTCCACGTATCCAAGAACATAAGTTTGCCCCAGGCATGATTCCATATACACATGGACTATCCATAATGGTGCCAACTCTGGATAAAGTTAGAAGGTTCTGGATACAACAAGGAGAGAAGGTACATGTATAAGCTTATAAAGGGAAGGGTCAGAGGTCAGCCATGAAGATGGAGAGGTCATTACCATGGCGATGCAGGTCACCTGTCTCACCTGGCGCAGGCGTCGGGCAGCAGACACAGGTTTGTGGTGCAGATGGAAAACTTCGGTTTGAGACCCACCTCCTCAGGGCCGGGAACATCCGGGGAACTGCAGTACACGAATGGGTTCCTGTTGTTGGAAACAAAAAATGTATTCGGCACAAATTCGGCAGTTTGGGAGAACATAGTTAAATGAGAAGATTGTGATAGTTTTTTTTAGAACATTACAAAATATGAGTGATCTTGAAATCAATAGCACACACAGAATGGAAATCATGACTCCACTCATCATAGAGAGTGAATACTAGTATTCTCCATCTTTTGTTTTTAACATCAAATGATGGGCAAAAGAAGAACATAGTTATTTGTAGTAGAATGACTCTAATGCACTTGACATCATTGTCCCAATTCTAGTTGGAAAATCTATCAACTTTCCTGTGTGTCTTGTTATAATCACTTGACTTGAATACAGTATACAAATTCACATGACAACTTCCAAGTTTAGCCATCCAACATGGCGGACAACACTTATGTCATCGTCACATGAGTGCAAACACCCTCACGGTACCAGAACGTACTGCACCTGCGTGAAACCCGTAATGTATTGTACATAGCACTTCGGAAGAACGTCTCATAGAAGGTAGTATTTGTGTATATAACGTTCACATCCCGTCTGTCATTTCCAAATGTTGTGTCAGAAAAGATATCATCTGCAACAGACAAAATTCTGATGCAACGTTCACCAAAAATCCATTGAAAATGAAAAAAAAAAACAACGGAGCTGTGCATGCGCAGGTGCAGTACGTTCTGCCAACGTGCTATGCACAACACATTAGTCATTACAGGTTTCGCCCAGGTGCAGTACATTCTGCCTACATGCTTACAGAACCTACCTGAAGGGTGAGGTCAGCATGCGGAGAGTCCATCCGAGCGCAGTGAGGGGGAGGGTCAGGATCATGAGGAAAGCAAAGACTGGGCTGACAAACACTGTCCGGGCGATGAACCAGTGTTGCCACGGAAACTCAGACGAGAGGAGGCGGAAGCCGCACATGAGGCCGCCGAAGCTGTGGTAACCCGGCAACAGCAGCCAGGAGGAGAGGAGATGGAGGAGGGCCAGGGGTGGGGAGGAGAAGGGGGACGTGTGCAAAACAGAGCGTGCCGTGTGCATCATGATGTCATCAGTCTTGTGAGGATGGGAATAGGAGGGTCCAAACCTGGAAACAAGAACACATGAATGGAATTCAATGGATGAAATTGGTATCTGAATTGTTCAATCAGTCAATCAATCAATCAATCAATCAATAAATCAATCAAATGGTATTTTATTCATAAAAACAAGGACATTGCAGCCAATGGCTGAATTACGTCCTGCTGTACAACGATATTCATTTACACAAACATTAACACAAATATCCAGATCAATATAATAACAAAGTCTTTGACATGCTGCATCCATGATGGATATCACTAAAGACAAACAAACAATGACTGTTCATCAAGAGGTAATTCATATACGAAATGCTACTCTGTTTATAACGCTCTGTACTACATTTGGTGAGACTCAGTTTGTTACTGGAGCGAGTGGTACGCTCAGTGGTGGTGCCTCTCCTGGGTGGTAGCCAGTGTTCAGCCAGTATAAGTTATAACCACCAATTTCTCCGGGAATGCGGTGGCGACCGGTTATACCATTGTATGAAATGAATTTGTTACATTAAAAAGCTGTTATAAAACTTTATATACCTAACTTTGCTATGCTGGAACAATGCTCACAAAACACATGCACAATCATGTAAAACGCTCGTCCTTACATCTACTTGGTGCCCACATAAACCTTATCATACCAAAGAGGCAGAAACTGGGGCAAAGGGCACATTTCAAAAATACGACTTTTGGCAGTTTGTCTTTATATAAACCAATGACTTTCTGACAACTCTCCAGTGTCACTGACGAAAGGTAGTGGATACTAGCTGAAACATCTGACCGTTTCCGAAATCATTTCCAGTTGCTTGAGTAACTGTTTTTTAGTGTATCTTATTTTTTTATAATATTACCTGGATGTCTAACCTTTAAACACCGACGTATACACAGTTCCCACCAGTTTTGGTGTGATGACAGCTGAAGTCACCTGTCGGTGGACAGGTGTGTGTACAGGTGTGCAGACAGGTACAGGTGTGCAGACAGGTGCCAGGTGTAACCAGTGCCTCCAGCACTCCCCCTGCAGGTGCCAAGACAACCTTGCTAAGGGAAGGGTCAAAGGATCAAAGCTCAACTGATCGCAGGTGAGATTACCGACTAGTGGTATACACACTTTGGGCTCCATGCAGCTGAGTAGTTTGGGCCAGTGGAATACTATTTTGTGCATGACATCTATGCGCACATTTTCTTATCCCATGACATGTCGGGCCGTAAATTCATATTTTTATTGATTCAGCCAAGAAACCACATATCTTACGTATACAGTGCTTTCTTTCACGTATTTCTGGGTCAGTGTGCCATTGACTTGGAAATATGTTCAATATCAGGTGAATGTCAGAATAGCTGATGCAATTATGCCATGCAATTTATAGTGGAGTGACTGGTTTGTGTTTTCATGATATCATGCAAATCCTAGGTTTATGCCGATGTCAGTGCTGGAAATAATTGGAGAGCATGCTAGCACTGTATACCACTTTGATGATGTTCAATGACATGGATTGATGGAGCTATGTTATTTGAGTATTGGGCATAACGTTACTCACGGTCGCTAGGTCCGCGGGTCGTGGCTACGGCCTGGGCGGCGGCAGGGGCGCAGCGGCCCGGCGGCGGCTGGCATCGGGGCGGCGGAGTCAGAATTCCCGGGGCAAAGCGATAAAATATTACCGCCGAACTGTAGTGTGTACATACAAGCCCGGGTCAACATCCGTACATACTCACCCTGCCAACGTCTATCAGCTGGTGGACGGAACCATTCACTCGCCTGCCCAGGGGTGTCAGGGTAACTAGCGCAGTAAAATGCGTAATCAGGGGACAGAAAAACGTTCAAAGCATTCATTTGGTTTTCTTTTTAAGTATTAGATTATAAGCTAGAGTTTATGGAGATGTTTCCTTTTGCACAAAAAAGATGTAAGGGCTTAATTTATAACAGGCAGGAGTTCCTGTCATATTTGGACTCTTCCATTCCTGAAAATCAGCTGGCGGGACACTCGACTTCTGGTGTAGGCAGGAGTACTTTATACCTTCGAAGATAGAAATCCTAAAACTACCCAAGAATTCTACAATTTGTCTATTCCTATATAAACAAGATTTTATCCTTTGGTAGTAACAATATTACATGTAATCTGCTTCTAGATCAATGAATAGTTTCTAAAAAATCCCCATGTCACCCCCATTTTGCAGAATGGTATGTTCACGCCCAGTGGCATAGTGGAACAAACCATTCAGATTCAGGGACCACAATCTATCCATGCAATCCATATAAAAAGAAGTATTTTAAGAATATATACACAACATTCAGACCCAAGTAGATTGGAAAATAAAACAAATATTGCTAAAGTTATAATAGTTCATTAATTTTGATTTTCACTGGTTGATATCTATATATCAAAAAAGAAAACAAAAGCTAAACATAAATCACAATGGTAGAACCCACTTATTGTTCATGACAGTCACAAGATCTGAAGGTGTCTGCCTCCTAGAATACCTGGCAGAAGCTAGTTTGGTGCCATAGACGCCATCTACAGCATATAATTCTCGGCATCAGACCAGGTGGGTGTGAACGGGAGAGTTATGGTGTACCTAGCTTCTATATAAGCGGTTATGTTATCAAAACTTTTGGGTATTTTTGCCACCTTAACAAGTGTCCCCTTAACAAGGAGTACATACGCCCCCCCCCACCATCGAAGCAGTTAGAAGCAATCAGCTGCTTGTTGATTCAATTTCTGTCTGTTCCTGATTGCTGCAAGATCTCCTGGGTGCCAGTTCCAAAGTGCAGTGACTATTGTGGTTGTGAATAACGTCAGAATTTTGTGGGCTGCAGGGACACTAGAATTATGACCAGAAAACTTGTTATTTAACCTCCTTGATATAAGAAACAATTTTTACCGTTTATTGAGGAAAAGCTCTCCCGAGGGTGGCAGCTATTCTTCCAGGAGAGGGTACATAAGACATAACAATACATCACATACAATTACATATACATTTACATTACATAGTATTTGTAGCTTTGTGGTCAATAATTTTCTTTAGTTTGGGGTCAGACATGGAATGTGGACTTGTGTTTTCAGGGAAGGAACCTGTCATGGCAGATGGAGGAAGAGGCCCCCCAGACCCCCACCCTGGCCCCCCAGACCCCTACCCCCCCGGGCCACCAGACCCCCACCCCCCACACGGGCCACATGTGTACAGCTATCATGATGGGTACCTGGACTGGATGGGCTTTGTGTAAGTCATTCATTAAGCTTTCTGCTGTAATGTTGGTAGAAATATGCAAGCTTTCTGCTGTGATGTTTGTGTAAGTGATTAACATGTAACTTGTAAGCTTTCTGCTGTAATGGTGAAAGAAAGTCTAAAAACACACCAAAAATAACCCCAAACCTCTGCTTGGAGAGTAACTTAGTAACCCTGCCTTAACATCAGCTCAGCTGCCAGGGCTTCCACTGTATTACAGTGTTGGCAACTTAAATAAATAACCCTGCCTTTATTGCAGCATTGCGCCGCCTTGTGCGTCTCTTGTACTTATGTAAAGTCCACACAATTCAGTACTACGTACACCTGCTATGTTGACTGTTCTTAATAAAATTGAAAATTGCATACACTATAGTGACGTACTCCTACTGTTGTTATTGCAGCATTGCACTGATCATCCTGATCGTGGTTGTGAAAGTGATCATCCTGATCTGCTGGCTGTGCGGGCGGAACAAACGCCAGGGCTACGTCCGGTTGCAGGGCGGCGCGGGGAACACGTACCACGCTACCGTCGCCACGGAAACGGCACCATACCCCGCCCCGTACCCCGCCCAGCCTTCAGCCCCGCCCCCTACCAGAACCCGTACCAGGCAAAGGACTTCACCTCGGTCAGTCAACTTCAACTTCCAACATGAACTTTTCTGTGCTTTGCACTGACATGGCAGAGTTTAACTCCCGATGCTTTTTCTGAAGAATGAAAGGATTTAGTTGCATTGTTTTAAAAAGAGAGAAGAAAGGGCAACTAACCGTAGATGATAGGTAGTATATAGTATTGTTGTAATGTATAGATTCCTAGCAATTAGCATTAGAATATACATGTAGCATTCCAGTATGCAATACTCATGTTTTGCATACTGCATGTCCTCTTGTGCATTTAGCCCATCTGGGCAAGAACAAGCAATAAAGATTCATATATATTTAAAGCTTTAAATGTAGCTCATCAGATTGCTTTTTGTCTGTCTGTCAGTTGTTCACCAAATATGTCACAAATATCTCCTTTGTTCTGCATCAGTAACTGTGTTTTTTGTATTTCAGATGGCCACAGCTCCACCAGCCTACACAGCAGAAAACCCTCCACCCCCTCCCTACTCTCTGTCTACCAGGACATAAACCCTAGACTGAAACTACCCGGTCCTAGTAGCCTACAGGACACACTACCCGGCCCTACTACTGACTGACTACAACGTAGACTCTCCATACTGTCAATACTACCCTAAAGTACTGTGGTATAAATGATCAATGTCATGTTGCCTCGTATATAGTGATGAGTTTACTGCATAATGCAGTATATTGTTTGATGTTATTTAGTGGTATAATAACTATTTTATTTTTCCATTACTACTGTAACAGTATTTTTAAATGGTGTTTTGGGAGTCGGACCTAATGTTGCATTCTTTTATACTTGCATGTGAATAACTGTTATGTAGAAATACATATTATGACTACTGTACTGTTATTAGAACTAGATACTAGTACTCTTATCATATACTGGTATATATATTTTGGCTATCATGAACTGATATAGGGATGTAAGGCCATATAAGTGTTCATTACTAGTATCTACTGCTGGTGTTGTAAATATTTTTGTAGAGACGTGGAATTGTCCAGTGAGTTTTTATGTGAAAGGCTGTATATTTTTGTCACTTCTGGAGCTGATAATCTAATATTTCTTGTAGTTTAATTTTGAGTGTTTCTGTATTCAACGCTCAACTAACAGGATCTAGGAAAGACCGAGGTGTGAGCTCACAAGCGACTTTACAGGTATCATCTGGAGGGTACTGTGGTGGAATAAGTGCCTTTTGTGTTTCATGATGGGAATAAAATGGTGGAAACGATTGTGAAGAGTTGCTGTCTTTGAACTGGAGTACTCATGGCTTTTAGAAAGGCTGAGGACCTGACCTGATATTCATGTCATTAAAACCTGACAAACTTATAAAAATGTTTTGGTTCAAGTCCAAAAAAACCCAAAAGTCAAGAACCGACTTGTTACAAAAAAAAGTCACATACCCCCTTTCTTTCCAAACCACCTAAAACCTACCATAGATTGCAAAATCTGTGCTGCAAAATGACGAAAACATTGCCATCGGGCATCAAGTGTCGGCCTCCATGTTATGTGGCCAAAGTTTTGCCCCCCCCCAAAAAAAACATTGCAAAGTTGCCAACATGCAAGTTTGTATATGCCATGGGTTTAGACATATACAAGTCCAAAACTGAACCTAAACCTCTGGACTTGAATCCGGACCTGAACCTAAATGTGGGTTTAGGTACACGGCTCTACCTGGTGTACATAATAACAAGGGACTGACACAGCTGTAAAAGGACAATATCTTTATTCTCATTGATACATACATAATGGTAAAAAACCTATGATAGGAATGTAAGGAAAATGATAAAACACAGAAATTAATGAAATTGTAAAAGCAAATATTTTCTTCCATCACATACAAACTCTATGTAAGATTATTTCTGGGACTACTGGAAGAAGGGAAGCCACAGACTGAAGACTCAAACTAAAGGGACCTGGGCTGAGGTCCTTAGTACGGAGAAAGCTGACAGTAGAGCAAGAGTCTCATTTAGATGGTTCTTAGTGATTGGAACTATCCTAGATCATGTTATTGCTATTTGTAGAAGAAATATTGTGCAAAGACTCCCATAGCTTATACCGATAATACAAATCTGAGGGACAAAAATGATCTTATGAATATAAATCTAGTACAGCAGTATCAAATCCTGATCAAACTTGAACTGTACAGGTTTGGTTACAAATGGTAATCCCTCGCTAGATTTTCTTACAGATATGTTACCCTTTCTACTCCCTAATTTGTACATGAGACTAAGAGTGCTAAGTATCCACTAGAGCAGCAGTAAACCGAATGCTCCCCTACAATATCCACAAGTGTACTCTAGTCACAAATGTTAAACTTTGGATTCTCCATCAATTTACAATGTGGTGAGGAAAGTCCCCCGGTGAACCCATGATTTGTTTTTTTACAGTTTCCATAACAGGAATTTCTGCCTCTGCACCAACCCAAGTTCCTGCCTAAACCAATGTGGTTAAGGTAGAAACTACCGCTGAGAGTATTTGTATGAGCAGCTATACTATTATGACTTGGTGCGTGAAGCGTGTGTGGGGTGCGTTTGGGTGGTGTATTGGGGCGTGTGTCGGGTGTGTTTGGGTGGTGTGTTGGGCGTGTATCGGGTGTACTTGGGTGGATCATGACTTGGTTTTGGGGGCGTGTGTCGGGTGCGCTGGCGTGGAATCGGCCTGGGTAGCGGCGTGGTCCTTTATCCAAGGGTGGGTGAGAACGCTGTCCAACGGCAGTCGTAACATCGGGTTGTGTCGCAGGAGCTGTCAACAAAAACAACAACATGCAGGTGAGACAGAGACGGGGGGCGCCACAGACTTTCTGCAACCTATAATCCACTGCTCACGGAGTCACGTGTGTTATCTGCGAAGATTTGACCAATCTCATTAATGCTATAGGTATTGGTGTGTCAGCCACTTTCATTTCATGTTATGTTATACTTTAATAATGTCATCTTTATGTTTACTTTTGAATATGTTTTATGCGCAGCGGATTCACATAAGCACAACAAGTGTTTCCTATCCAATGCTCAAAAATCCATGTGAATAAAAGAAATAAAATAAAATAAACAACATGCAGGTTATATTACTTTGCAGGGCCAGTGATGACCCTTACCCTGACATCATACATGGCAATGATTATTGAGGTACTGCAGAGTAAAGGACAGAACTAATGACCATTCTAAGCTGATGCTGGTCGTACCTTTGATATCAAATCCCGGGCTCCGGAGGTCACGTGCGGAGGGAATCTCAGGTCAACCTGGGGAAACAAGGCATCATGGGTAATGACAAACTGTACTCAATTAATTCCTCAACAGCAAAAAAAAATTAATTTTGCTGCAGTTTAAATTTTGTCTTCACTCTCACACTGTCAGTGTGAGAGTGAAGACATTTCAAACTCTTGTAGGTGTAAACTGAATAATGAGTGGACAGTGAATGTTCCACATGAGGCTATTTACAAAACAGCTTTGAAGGGACACAAGAGGTTTGATAAAATCTGTCATTATGTCATACATGGTAGGTCTGAAAAGTGATTTCTACACTTAGTTCGTTAGTCCATCGTAGTTTAGAGTGCTGCAGGCCGTTGGAAGTCTGGGCTAGCTAGCGCCTAGCGTTCACAAATTGGCCACCGCCATAACTTCGCAATGACGTAGTTCTATAATAAGAATGGCCGGCAGCGCTCTAAACTACGATGGACTAACAAATTAAGTGTAGAAATCACTTTTCATGAGGCTACTTTGCAATACAGCTATAACAAACAAGTCTGCATAAATAATTTCATCAGGTTGGTAAACGACTGAATAGCAAAGTTCTTTCTATCACAACCATTTATTTTTTCAAGCCAACGTTTCGATGACCTTCTGTCATCTTCATCAGGGCAATACTGACTCCTGCAATACTGAAGTCTGCATCACTCAGCAGCACAGCTGGACCCACCTTTGAAATCCTTCTGTAGGTTTCGCTGTGTCCTTCTGCCTCGAACGGCGGTTTGCCCACCAGAAACTCGTAGCACAGTACGCCGAGACTCCACAGGTCCACCTTCTCGTCGTGCATCTTCCCTTCTATCATCTCAGGAGGCAGGTAGTCAAGGGTTCCGCACAGCGTCGCACGTCTGGCAGCACAGGGGGAAACACAGAGGGTTACAACTTACTTTTTAAATCCAATTCTAAGGTCATTTTTCCCAAGTGCAAGTCTTTTTTTTGAAGCAAGCTTTTTACGGCTGGATGCCCTTCCTATGGAAGCCTTCAACACCTGAGCTCCGCTCACTGATGGATGACAGAGAGGAGTGGAGGAGAAGGACCCACAACTTACAACTTCTAGACTACAAGGCCGCTGGAATCCATCTCAGCCTAGCTGCACTCTGCTATTATTAGTTGGATCCCCACCCTGCTCTCGGTGGCGGACAGGGAGTGGCGCCCCTGCCCATTGAGGAGCTGCAGACCACAACTTACACACACACAAAGCATACATGTACAAGCGACCACCCCATCCAATACCCCCACCGTGCGGGAGCCATTAACCAATGCATTAAGGTTTGCACGAAAAGGGAAGAAAAAGAAGAAGGCCGCCCAGTGTGGTTCCCTTACCTGGAGGAAGGTGCGTGGACAGACCAGCCGAAGTCTGCGATCTTCAGGTCTCCCTTCAGCCCCAGCAGCAGGTTCTCCGGCTTGATGTCTCTGTGGATCACCTTCTTCGAGTGGCAGTACTTCAGCGCATCTGCCAGCTGGGCTATGTACTGTGGGGGAGGGGGGCAGAGTTAGCACTGTGGGGGAGGGGGCAGGGTTAGCTGGGCATTGGTACTGGTGGGGGGAGGGGCAGGGTTAGTTGGGCAATGTACTGGGGGAGGGGGGCAGGGTTAGCTGTAGGGGTAGGGTAGGGGTGCTATAATTAGCTGGTAGGAGGCTTAACTAAATACCAGAAACATCTTACTGACATCATAAATGAATTATAACATGGGATGTCTGCCTGGTACTGGAAACAATGACAGGTTGCGACCGGGAGTGATTTGTACGTGAACTGCCTTCAGAAGTTTGTAGTGACGTATCTGTATAGCCGGTATAACCGCCCTTCAGCGTAACACACCAGCTTCTGTATCTGTATAGCTGGTATAACCACCCTTTGGCGTAACACACCAGCTTCTGTATCTGTATAGCTGGTATAACCGCCCTTCGGCGCAACACACCAGCTTCTGTATCTGTATAGCCGGTATAACCACCCTTCAGCGCAACACACCAGCTTCTGTATCTGTATAGCCGGTATAACTGTCCTTCAGCGTAACACACCAGCTTCTGTATCTGCATAGCCGGTATAACCGCCCTTCGGCGTAACACACCAGCTGTATCGTGGCTGTAGGGGAGGGGGGTTAGTTGTTGGGTAGAAGTTTGCAGTGATGTACCGTGGCTGTAGGGGAGGGGGGGTTAGTTGTTGGGTAGGAGAAGTTTGCAGTGACGTACCGTTGCAGATCTTCTCTCGTCGAAGCGGACTTGCTTCTGCAGCTCCTTGTAGAGTTCCCCCCGCGGCGCGTACTCCAGGATCAGGTAAACCCGCGTGTCGTCGTAGAAATAACCGTACAGACGCAGGATGTGCGGATGTCTGAGGGGAAACATTTCAGCACAAACCTTTATAAAACACTACTGAGGGAAAAAACGTCACACAACTTTGTAAAACACTACTGAGGGAAAAAATGTCAGCACTCAACTCTGTAAAACACTACTGAGGGAAAACAGAATGTCAGCACTCAACTTTGTAAAACACTACTATGTAAAATTACTCATTAAAGCTCGGTAATATTTGTCCAAGGATCATTGGGTTGGCAGAGACACATATCCACTAACCATACATCCATGAACTAGAGTGCAAGTTTCTCACCTGAGGTGGGTTTGGTTAGTAAAAGTGAAAATTTCTCACCTGAGGTGGGTTTGGTTCGTAAAAGTTTCTCACCTGAGGTGGGTTTGGTTAGTAAAAGTGAGAGTTTCTCACCTGAGGTGGGTTAGGTTAGTAAAAGTGAAAGTTTCTCACCTGAGGTGGGACTGGATCTCTATCTCGCGTCGCAGCTGATGCTCCACACCTGCCTTCATCAGCTGAGACTTAAACAGCACCTGCAGGTGGGAAGCAGGTGTCGAGGTTTGATCACTAAACTGGGAACTTCAGCCTACATTTTGCCAAGTGTTAGCCACGTTAGTCCTGTCTGTCTGCCATATTGCATGGTTGGTTTAAAGCTAACAAGCTACATTCAAGTTAGGCTAACGGAAATATGTGGGTGAATTTGTTCTTCCTGTTTTACTTTGAGACGCAAGTAAAAAAACTACCAACAGAAACAAGAAAACTAGCAACAAAAACAAGCTTTATCATCAACACTACAATAATAACTAGTATAGTAAAAGGTTGAACTTTATTCCAACACACAATTGTACAGTTCTGCGTAATTGTGTGTTGGAATAAAGTTCAACCTTTTAGTACTTTTACTATGATTACTACCAACACAGATGAACTTTCATGATAATAGTAACTAGTCTTACCTTCAACGCTACGATAAACTTGGAGTTTTTCTCTCTTGCCAAATAAACATTCCCAAATTTCCCCTTCCCCAGCGGCCGACCAATGTCAAAGTCTTCCAGCTTCCAGCTTTTCATTTTCCTGAAAAAAAAAGCATTAAAAAAACATCTTCACTTTGTACACAAACATACACATACACACAGAAGTCAGATTAACCGTTAATGTTACTGTAGCTTACCGTTACAAGTACAGCTAACGTGAAAAAGCAGATAGGGGATATTCTGTAATGTTTTTCCTGACCCTATCCGATTTACATCTCAGCCGTCTGGTGGCTTAGTTAGAGTGTGGGCCAACAGCACGAAACACCAGGAAAAAAAACTACATACAAGTTAAACTGAGTGATTAATGGGCCTCCTTAAGTCCTTGTGTTTCATATCGAGCATCCTACCTGTCCCCGCTGCTACCTGCGATGCCTGCAGGCTGCTGCAGGTTTCTGTCCCGTGCTGCTGTTGGACGGCTGAGCCTTCAGCACTGCCCCGTACCCCCCTCCCGCCTACGTACCCCCCACCCCCGTCCCGTACCTGTCCCCGCCGGTGCCCGCCAAGCCTGCAGGCTGCTGTGCGGCTGCAGGTTTCTGTCCTGTGCTGCTGTTGGACGGCTGAGCCTTCAGCACACGCTGCGCTCCCTGCGACGCCTCGGATTTCGATTTCACCAGGATCTATACAGGACACAAAAGCTTTTAATAGTTTTATACAACAACACAGCATTACACCTCATGATCAGCTTTTAATGTTTTATATAACATCACTCACCTTTTACAACACATCACACACACACACCTTAGCTTTTTTATAACACAAAACAGCATTACAACTCAGCTCTTCTACAACAACACAGACCTCATCTTTTACAACACAGCGTTACACATCACTTTTTACAACACGGCACTTTTTACAACACCTCAGCTTTTTTTTATACCACAACACGGCATCACACCTCGGCCCTTGCATAACACAATACAGCAGAAAGCATTATACTTCAAGTAGTTTTATCTATCAAGTTACATCTCATCTTTAACAGAACACAATACAGCATTACACATTTACACCTCCACTTTTGTATGTGTACACTACTGACCCGAACATTTGGAGCGTCCTTGTTCTCCTTCTCCAGTAGGGCCATTGGATTCTTAATCTGGAACAGAAACAGAGAATTTCACATCAAGGAAACTCCTGGGCTACACAAGATTCCCAAATAAACTATCACATTAGCAGTAGAGCCCTGGTGACTAAAGCCTTTCATATAATATGCTGTGAATACCTACCTACCTACCTAGTCCCATGACCGACACTGCTGTAAATACTGGCATCCAAGTCGTGGGGCACTCCATTCAGCTGATTAACTTTTTGCCAGGCTGATACTGGCTCCCATGTAACTGACAGGCGGCGGGCCGCGGGCCCAATTTTTGTGTGTCTCTGGTTTCCCAATGCACTCACCAGCCGGGCCAGGGGATGAAACCCTGAACAAATGCCCAGATTAACCCCACCAGAGCCTCAGAGTGCATAACTCTATAATAATCCTTGGCAATCTGCGGCCATATTGAATTTTACCGTGTCCGGAATGAACCACAAAACAGGCCTGAACTAAATTTTAAGACAGTTTTTCTCAACGCATCAACGTTCAAGGTGTGTGCCACGTAAGAAAAAATGATGTAAAAATTTACAGGGGACTGGAGATGAGTGGTGCTGCTCTGAGGAAAAACTCACCATCTTGGCTGTCTGACTGGAACACACAGAACCTCCAAAATTGCACAGGACTCCTGACGGAAGACTTCAGATTACAGCAGCTGCAGAGTAGAGCAACTTCTGCAAACTTGGGGATATCTGGGGAAGATGACATGTAAGTTATAACAACTTAAAACAAGGTTTGTCGATGAAGGGTTAAACATCCAGGCAATGAGATTAAAAAAAGCTACACAAGAACATGTAACATGACTAACAAAAAATGTTAGTGAGAATATCACATTTACCGGTACTATTTCCTTTGGGGAAGGCCCACGATAAACCACATAGGATTTAAGCCTTGGGTTTCAGGCCTCCCCGGCGCATATTTATGATATTTATTCATTTTCTATTATTCATCATACAAACAAAACAACTGGACAACTTTTGAGAATCTGTCCAGTTGTAACAGTGGGGGGTTTATAGGCGCTACCAACTGACCCGGCTGACAGGTCTAGACCTTTTCAGCCAAGTGGTTAGAGCGTTGGCGTGTGGACTGGTGCCCGGGTCTGGTCGAGGGTTCGAACCCCGGCCCGGGACCAGGGGTTTTTATATGTTTCTACTCGCTCCTCCTGTTTCTTACACAGTTGCTTGACCAACTGCTTTCTTTTGTTACTACTCTACTCTACAAGTATAATTCAGAAGATGCTTATGAATTTCTACCACACTGTTTTTCCAGGGCCCACACAGGCCAGCCCCTCCGCTCCAGGGCCTTCATGCCCCAAAGAAAATTTACTAGACTCGGCTTGAGTAAGACCCTGTAAAACCACTGAGCCTTGCACACCAGCTAACTCGGGGTAGAGAGGGGGGGGGGCTGCCATCCAGGCTATTTTTTTTTGGACCTCGGCGGCATACACTCACTATCCGGTAAATTTGATTGATCTCTAAAAAAAGGACTAAAAAGCCATACGTGTATTTGACAAGAACTAAGCCAATCAATTAACCCACTAAAATGTGGGAGCGAAACGATTTTTAATCAAAATACATATGACCTCTGTGCAACGACAAAAAACATGGCCGACGGGTTTTATGCAAAGTAGTAATAGTATACTATGTAGTAGTTTCCTCGCGATATCTGACAGAAATTACGCGCAATAGAAGTAGTAAACTATACATCTTTTAGGTTCGATGGGTGGCTCAAATTATGGTAGACAGAACGCCCTAGATTACCTAGGAAAAGGCGCACAAATTATTTTCGTTCTCGGCGAGGGTCTTCAGCATATCAGTCAAAACTTTAGGCAAAAGGTTGCGGGAACGAGAGAATTATCCAGAGCGGTAGAGACCAGAGCGAACACAAATATAGAATATAAAGACACTCAACGCTTACCTACGGTCAAAATAACTCCACTTCAGCGATAACGTCGATATTCTTTCCACGAAAACAGCAGCTCACAGCTCTGTACTCCTTCTCCTTTGATTATGTGACTATCCAATATGGCGCCTACTGGGTTTAAATTTGAAAACTAGCACCTTAGCGCTGATTGGTCAATAGCACGTAATTACTTACATGGTATTGGTCCAATTTGTTTTCAATGCTGAGCTATGATTGGTTGATTTTGGAACGTACCAAATTGGCAGCGGGGGATTTTTAAATATTAATATCACAGTTTTGAAAGCAAAACGAAATATGCTGACATATAATGATACAAATACATGTAACTCAAAAACATCTTACGAACGTATAAAATTACAGAACAAAATATATGCTGTGCAAAAGCTTAAAATATGCGATATTCTCCTTCGCTTTATTCGACTCCCCGCAACATGTAATGGAAAATGCCACAGAACAAATATATCTGTCGCTAGAGGTCGCTGCTGAGCCGTCTTCCTGGTGTACAGCTGCAGTTGGCCTGGGTGCCAGACCCACAGTAGCATCTACCAGGCACCGCGGATTGCTGGAAAAATAGTACTTTTATTAGTAGAAATTGGCCGAAATAAAGGGATTGTATACCAGAGAAGATCCAGGGCCATGGAAGCTCCAATCTTCGACCCACGATCTATTTTTTCAGCAATCCGCGGTGCCCGGTAGAGGCTAGACCCACAGCACACTAGGCTGAAAGTTAACAGTGTGCAAGATAGGGCCTAGTGTTAGGGCTGCGTACCTAAACGTAACATCAGGTACAGGTACAGGTACCGGTACAGAGGTTTAGGTACAGGTCCGGACCTGTACCTGTACCTGAACAATTTGACAAATTAACACGTGTTCTTCACTTTTTCAATCATGACACAGAAACAATAATAAAGTGTTGACAACTTGTCAGTATCTTTATTTATGACCTGATTTGAGTTTGTTGACCAATCACAACCCTGGATTAGCCACACTCTCGCGATGTCTCGTGAGACTGAGGATCTCAAATCAATCGACGATGTTTACGTCTTTTCCAGTGCTAATTTTTCGTCTTTGTGGTAGGATTTACCTATCTTTAGTCATATACATGGTGTAAACTAGCTATTTCGGTATATACTCGTTACGTCATGATCCGGTATTTTGGACCTGTATCGAAACGATTTTTACGGTATTGGACCGGTACAGTGTACCGGTCCGCAGCCCTACCTAGTGTGCAGTGTGGGTCTGGCATCCAGGCGCCAATGGGTTGCTGGAAAAACTAGTGCTATAAGGTTAACGTTATACGACACCAGAGGAGTTTAATAGCGGACCCAACAATTGATTTGGTATTATTTGGTATTTATGTTTTTAACTTTTCTTCTTCTTCTTATGTTATTTGATTGTCTTAATTTATTAGTTAATTGATTAGTTAACTAGTTAGTCCATTTTGCTAACTTTATTATCTTGTGTATCTAGCTTGATTTATTTTCGTAACTTTTGTTTCTCCTGAATTGATAATACATGTTGTCAAAAGTAATTTAGGAACTAATAATAGTGAGAAAGAGAGTGAAGGGCATTGTCATAAGGTTTTACCAGACGTCTGGGAAAGATACATTCTGTCAGATTCCTTTTATTGCTTTTCATCGATCAACTTAAAGTTACATTCTGAGTGATGTTATGGAGGCAACACAAAAACAGACTGCATTACATGCACATGTATGCTTGGCATTAAACATTCTATACTATTACAAAATAAGATATGAGGTTACCAATTCCCCAGGTTGTGTGTATTGTACATCCCCCTCCCCTCATTCAGCTATGCTATCACTATGAACAAGAATATTCAATTTTCCACTTCTTTCATTAGAGACATGAAAATACATCTGCCAACAAATGGCATCATTTTTCTAGAATTTCTGTTCTACAAACAAAATGCCCTGGAACCCTGCAACATCAAGGTCAGGCAGATGACCTTTGACACATGGCTGATGCAATCCCAACACAAGAAAGACTTTGAAAGGTCCTGTTGTTTACACATCAACCCAGGATGTTTACATAAAGGACAAGGTCCACATGACTGCGTAAAAATTACTAACAGCTTCTGGAAACTTCTATATTCTCACTGCCATGACTGAGCACAACATTTCTGGCCCGGCCAGCCTCAAACTTCTGATCATTCGCATACAGGAGTTCTGGGGCATGCCATAGCCTCTACCAGGCTTCAGGAGGCAGCTGGAAAAAGCAGAAATTGGCCAAATACAGAGATAACATGCAGAGGGAGTTGGTCTGCTCAAGGACAAGTATTTAACCTCCTTGGTCTGCTAGAGAGAACAGTTGTGCGGCAAACTATTCTCTCCCAGCAGACCAACTCCCCCGACATGCCATCTCTCTATCTGGCCAATTTCTGCTCTTTCCAGCCGCCTCCCGAAGCCTGGTAGAGGCTAAGCATGCCTTCTAACACAAAGGAATAGTAACTTTTTAAAACAACTTTACACAAGAACATAAACAGATGGGCATATTGAAGTTTGGTCCTTTCTAATTACAGAGGCTTTCTTCGCTTCCTATGTGAACAGAACAAATTAGAAAACCTCTTAAAGAACTGTGACCAAAGTTTGACATTCACACTTCTGTTTCCCTTGACAAAGCATTATGACTGCTTTACCTTTTCCCTTACACTGCTTGTCCTTTCACTACGAATGAGAAACGTTTCATTACTACTCTTTCTCAGAATGGAAATGATACACATCTTTGTAATACTTAACAGAAAACATACAGCAACTGAGATTCACATCTGCCCATCCTATACAACAGGGTTTTTTCTAGGAAAATTTAGCGTGAGGGAGCAGATCGCAAGCATGGCAAGAGAGTTAGTGACCGAGGGGGTGTTTTTTTTTAAATGAGAGTAACACAGTTTGTAATGCTAGAATGCATTGTTGTATCATTTTTACATCTTTACTGGAAAAAGATTATTTTGAGAAAGACTATATGTTGTGTATGTAGCCACTTAGGGTTCAAATTATCCGAAAATTGATATGATGGAGCAGCTCCCTTATTCCCCTGTTTAGAAAAAACCCTGCTACACAATATGGGTAATTTCAATTTGCTGCCATTGCTTATTGCTTACATACCGGATAGTTATTAATTATGTACATCTATGATACAGGCCCTCATCTGAGCATGCCCACGTTCCGCAGGTAGCGCACAACAAAAGGCACGCAGGTGAGGGTGATTCCGATGCGGACAGGTGCGAAGACTTTGTGCACGGCGTACGCGATGACAAACGTGCTCGCTCCCGTCGCCACACCTGACTCTGCGATCGCCTTCCCGACGCCAAGCTTGTGCAGCAAGGCCACCATGTCTAGTCCACTGCAGAAACACACACAAAACAACAGTTAGTGGTGTACATAAATAGTTGGAACATTTACTATTACTAGTGTTACAAGACGAAAAGGACGCACGTCTGCACTCGTCAATGGCTTTATCTCAACTCTTTTATTCAAGTTCTAACTGTCCGGTTCTGGAGCCCCTTCCCTCAAACGGTACCGGTATAGATCACCTGTTCGAACACGACGCTGGCACGTGTTCGAACAGGTAGCCGGCCCCGCCTGAGGTAGGGACTACGACTGTCCGTTACATTAACTAGTATCATCCAGATCTACAAAAAAACATGAATATTAGAATGAAAGATAAGTTGTGTTGGTATAGTTAGTAGTCAACACAGTACAGAGTTGAAAATATATACATGTATCAGTTTGTTTATCTTGATGAAGAAAGGAAATTTTCCATGTGTTAAGTACAAATCATTACTACATTACTGAAAAAAAAATGTTATTAATACCGACAGCCACAACATGCAGAATGCTTGTGTCCACAGACATACCTACACACAGTTCACCCAGACTAACCCTCAGTCAAACATCTGGTTTGCTACAGGGCAGAAGTGTGAAGGTACTGACTACAGGAACACCAGGGCTGTTAGAAGGTAGGGTGAGAGGAGGGCGACAGTTCACTGAAGTAGCATCAACTTCAACAATGGCCCCTCAGGAAAGGTTCCAACCCCAGGGTTGTTATCAGGAATAGTGCTGCCAGGCAAGTGGAGGTGCAGAGAAGTGTGACAGCAAAAAGAAGGGAAGAAATTAAGGTGTGAAGGAAGTTTTGTCACCTGGATACAGCAAGGTGATATGTGTGGGTTACTACAGGCAGATAGAGGTAAGAGGCGAGAGAAGAAGGGAAGAAATGAAGGAGTGAAGGAAGTTTGGTCACCTGGACACAGCGAGGTAGAAGCCGCCCAGTGACAGCAGCGAGATGCCGATATGAAACACGACAACCGTCGATCCGTAGTCCCGCACAGCTCGCTTCAACCGCTCCCGCTGGCTGGGGGGTTTCCCGGTCTGGTCAGCAGGGGCTGCTGCGGAGAGGTGCCTGCAACTGTACATGTGGGGTTTCCCTGCCTGACTATCAGGGGCAGACGTACAAAGGCGGCGAGGATAGCTGAAGCTGTGCGAGGATGTGTGGAACCTGCGACTCTGGGGGCTGAGCACTCTACTCAACACACCTGCATTACAAACACACAACACACCTGCATTACAAACACACCTGCATCACAAACACACAACAAACACACCTGCATTACAAACACACAACACACCTGCATTACAAACACACAACACACCTGCATTACAAACACAGCTGCATTACAAACACGCAACAAACACACCTGCATCACAAACATGCTTGTGTCTGTGTTGTTAAGGCTAGTGTACAGGTGTGTACAGGTGTGTGTACAGGTGAGTGTACAGGTGTGTGTACAGGTGCCCTACCTGCTGTCCTGCAGGTGTAGCTCTGCTGCCCACCTTGTGCAGGTGTGTATGTATGTACAGGTGTGTATAAGTGTATGTACAGGTGTGTACATGTGTGTACAGGTGTGTGTACAGGTGTGTTACAGGTGTGTACAGGTGTGAGTACAGGTGTTTACAGGTGTGTTTACAGGTGTGTGTACAGGTGTGTGTACAGGTGTGAGTACAGGTGTGTGTACAGGTGTGAGTACAGGTGTGTGTACAGGTGTGAGTACAGGTGTGTACAGGTGTGTATACAGGTGTGTGTACAGGTGTTAACAGGTGTGTACAGGTGCCTTACCTGCTGTCCTGCAGCTGTAGCTCTGCTGTACCCCCTGACAGCTGCTGTTGCTGACAGGAGTGAACATGTTGCTGTACTGCAGGGCGGAGTAGGTACAGCCGTCCCCCTGTGGGCCCTGACAGCTCACTCCGCATTCAAACGGCTGGAAACAGACGGGAAGGAGTTATAGTTATCATATCATATACGCCAAAAAGCAGTTACTCAAGCAATTGGATATGATTTTGAAAACGTCAGACATTTCAGCTAGTATCCACTAGCTTTCGTCAGTGACTGAGAGACCAGAGGGGAAATGCTGGTTTATATCATTATAAGCACAAATAAAGTGAAGACATGAGATGCCGACATGAAACAAAATCATATCCAGTTGCTTGAGTAACTGCTTTTTGGCGTATCGAATTACCTGGATGTCTAACCTTCATCAACGTATCATAATTATCATATAGTTATCGTATATCTGAAAAGGCTAAGTCTATCACATAGACCCACAACGTAGTTGATTCATATGTTGCAATAGAAACATCAGACTCTCAGAGCTTCTGATCATTATTTCAGTGTTTTAAAGTGGATGACAACAAGACCTGGAAACACCTAACACGTTACAGAGCTAGCCTGGGTGCCAGCCATCATAGGATCCCATACCCACCACAGGCACTATATGCTTAGCCTCAACCAGGCTTCGTTCAGGAGGTGGCCAATTGTACTTTCTAGCGGACCAACTCCCTCCGCATGTTATCTCTCTCTATTTGGCCAATTTCTACTCTTTCCAACCGCCTCCTGAAGCCTGGTAGAGGCTATCATATGTTACTGCGTGTACTATAGTAATGACCAGTACTACGTACGCATGTATATTAAATCTCTCTATTTGGTCAATTTCTACTGTTTCCAGTCGTACGAAACGTTACCTGTGCCCTGTAGCCTGGGTAGAGGCTAACGTTACCATATGTTACTGTATGATAGTTAACTATTCAAGTAACGTTACCTGTGTGTAGAGCTGTGTACCGATACTCAGTACCGATACTGTACCGGAAAAATTGATTAGGTACAGGTCCAAAATACCTAATCCCTCTGTACCGGTACTGTACCTAAACAATTTCACACCAATTTTATGCCTATTTGTGACCTTAAATGTGGAAATAGCTGGTCGCCAATGGGTTCCAATGTAAGGACAGTGTGTTCATGAAAACAATAATACCTTACTTTTGCCTATATTTTATCTGAGCATTCTCCATAAACCAAAATTAAACCTTAACTATCAAGTGTATACATGTTTTTGTTGCTATTGAAAGAGTTCAGAAGAGCATGTAAATTGGTCGAATTTTTTAGGTACAGGTTCAGGTCCGGGTCCGGACCTGTACCTAAACCTGTGTACCTGTACCTGTACCTAAAATTTGTTTAGGTACACAGCTCTACCTGTGTGACACTGTGTACTGTACGGCCCTGTAGCCTGGGTAGAGGCTAACGTTACCATATGTTACTGTATGATAGTTAACTATTTAAGTAACGTTACCTGCGTGTGTACGGCCCTGTTGCCTGTCTGCTGGCCGGCCTGCACCCCCTGCACGT